TATCCACATTGGCCTGAAAATTTGTATTTTAACAGGGCAAATTTGGCAACGTCTAAAGCTCATGCTTACGTCGTTTTGTCTTCGCATGGTAAAACATCCGTAAGTCAGGAGTGCAGAAAATGTCCGATCACGCGCCCGAGTGAAAATGCGGAAAAGCACCTAAAATGTGGAAGGAGGGAAAATTCTGAAGGGTCAGCAGTCGATAGTCAACGAAAAACAGAAAAAAAGGTCATTTTTTTTTAATCGGTGGGAAGTTTCGTGGAAACCCGGTGAAAAAAAAAAAAAAAAAAAAAAAAAAAAAAAAAANAAAAAAAAAAAAAAAAAAAAAAAAAAAAAAAAAAATATGGAAAGCCTGCGGGCGGGCGCGTGAATATGTGAAAGCTCGGAAGATTCTGCACCCCTGCCGTAAGTATTTAAAGACGGAAAGTTTGGGCCGTAAAGTGACGCATGACGTACAGATCGAAAGTGGTAAACAAGGAGGAAGCCAGAGTAAGAATGACCTGCCGTGATTACGGTGACTAACGCGCTTCTACTATTACGGACTGTCTAGACGATGTGTCTCAAGAATGTTGTTTTCATTTTCTACCTTCATCTCAAGTACCTACTTTAAATACGTAGGTCATTCCCCGCTCCCAGCTTCCTCCTCCCCTCCTAACCCAGTGCCCTCATAGTATCTCATCCATGTAAAATACGAGCAAGAGTTTTACTTCAAAATAAAAGATACTTAATCGTCTTTGAACCACAAAATCAAGAATTCTGTGGTTTTGAAGGTCATTTTTGGAAGTGCATGCCCTCATAGTATCTCATCCATGTAAAATATGAGAGAGAGAGTTGGACTTTAAAATAATAGATGTTTCATCGTCTTTGAACCCTACAATAAAGAATTCTGTGTTTCTGAAGGTCATTTTTAGAAGTGCATAAGTACACGTTTTCTTCTTTGAACTTCCTATAGCATACCGAGAGAAGCTTTCAAGTTGTACCATATGTATTCATGATGAAAGGAGAAGTAAGTACAAATTGAAGCTAATTTCCATTTAAGTAGAAGTTAAGTGAGTAATTCAGGTGCCTTTTTGTTCTCCTTCTTTCGTTTTCTTTATGTTAATCTCGCAGATGTAGCTAGGGCTCTCTAAGTTTTCCCTGTCTTTCCGAGCAAGGTCAAAAACCCAGAATTTTGCAATTTTTGCATCCCCCAAAATAACTAAGAATTAAAACGTTTCAGCTGTAAAAAAACATTCACTTTTCGGAAACAACTGCTAGAAGAATACTTTGTGAGTGATTAGTATCATTTACGAATAAAAAAGAAAGAAAAAGGAAGAAAAAACCTAATTAACGGAACTTGCTCGGGAGTAAAAAAAAAAATCTTTCCCCACACGTCTTGCAGCAAGTCAGATAAACGCCAGCGTGAAAAAAATATTAATTAATTATGATTACTCAGTTTGTGAGCAATCAAACAATTAATTAAAAATAGATTATGTGTGAGCGTTTAGTATCTAAATTGAGATAAACTCGGGAGTATAGGGTTTTATGCTCGGTTACGGTCAACGCATCATTGTCACTTCTTCGTGTGTGTGCAGCTTACAGTGTAAGCAATGATAAGAAATAATAGGATTGAACTGACAATGAGCACTGAGGGCGATTAAGTAAATAGACTGGTGGATTTGTCTCATCGTTGTTGAGAAAAATCCACAAAAATACCAAACAATCCTCTTTTTTAACTTTGTCTTCTTTTAAAAAGAGCGACCTCTTCGAAATTAGGATTATTATTATTTCACTCCTCCTTCAGGAATTAAACCAAACGAGCTGCAGCGTGGACAGCAAAGCCTCACTTTTTACTTTTGAACAAATGAAGTCAAAGAACTGAGGTTGAAAATTACAACGGTGAAAGAAACAAAAAACAGTCATGGTGTCTTAGAATTTCGGCGATACTTATACTCAGGAAACTATTCCTGCACAGGGGATGTAATTGCAGACCCTACAAACTGCAGGAAAAATCACCTGTTGACGCGTGCGTGGCGCACGGGAAAGCGGGGCGAAATTCACCTCGTAATAATCAGATCAAAGGAACAAAAATGAATTTTTGCATCAATAAACGCAAATGCGTTTCTCTCTGGAACTTTGAGCTGCATAAGACGGGAAACGAGGAAACGCGACGATTGAGTTGCGCCCAGTAGCGTACGCGCAATGCGTAGAGTATCCATGCAGTCTTGCAGGCACTCAACAGCGCGCACCGTGGAGTAATGCGTGAAGTATTCATGCAGCCTTGCAGGCGCTAACATGTGACCGGGTAAACTCGTCCTCTAAATGCAAAGCGAACTACCAAAAAGTCATGCCTGGGCGAACGATTCGCGCACGACGTGTATAGGGTTGCATACGCTACGAATGGAAAGAGATATTTTTTGACAAGAAAAAATGTTGCAAGCCTACCCAAAAAAATAACGAACTGGTACCAGCTTAGTTAAACCTCACACTTTTCAGTAAAAACTACTAGAGTCGAGTTCGAGGATGCGCCAGAAACCATATCACGCAAGTCATCGTAAGAAAAATTAAGTCATTAAGTTCATTATATGGGGCTCTTTCTTGACAGATAATGGATGTACTAATCTGCTGTGGTGTGAAGGAGGAGCTTCGTAGAATGTTGCCGAATTTTCCTCGATGAAATTTTCATTTTTAAGTCGTCACGAAAATTTTTCCTTGACATTTGCGAGAAACCTGAATAATTTTGGAATAAAATTATTTGACAATGCAAAGCGAAGGATTCACAAGTGCTTCCAAAAAATTGAAATTTATTTTGAAGATGGAAATAGGTAATGGCAACGTTCATAAGGCATTTACTTCAGCAGCGCACGCAAATAGCACTTCCCTGGGTCCTAAAACTTTGTGATTCCCAAGGGACTTTCGAGACACATGCCTGATGAATGGTAATAGTATCCAGATATGGAACCAGTACCCACCTATAACTGGACTACATTTGGCATTTAGGAGCTAAAATTTCTAGCACATCCTTAAAAACAGGCATGTGCATGGGAAAACCAACGGTACATACTTAGTTTCTAAACTGAGCCAGATATGGTAGTTATTCCATGATTTTCATGAAAAGTCATAAATTTCTATCATTTTGAGTGTCTTATAATCCTGAAAATCCACTTCCCTAAGCAGCTCATACGGAAAACTCAATCCAAAATTTTGATGTTCCTTAAGATAATTTAATTTGTTGATTCTTCCACCGATAACAGGGCTGTTATCACCCCAAACCATTACAGGCCGATGTCAAATGAAAGCTAAAGGTTATCACCGATAAAAGAATGAAATTTTTGATCAAACTAATGTACTGGCTTACTTATGGACGGGGAGTTTTTTCCTGGTTTGCCTATTTTTGGAGAAGACTGGACAGAGGGCACCGGTTATAGCTAAAGTTAGTATAGGGGCCGCTCTTCAGTTAGGTTACATTTTTTTTTCAAACTTTAAATATCACACGAGAGATAATCTTGCACTATACTTACTGTCCCTAAAGTTCCATCCCCTTTCCATCCCCAATCAAGTCGGATCCAGATAACCGTTGTTTGAGACCATCAAACTCGGGTCACCGAACCGGGAATAGAACGCAGGACCTCCCGATATAGAGCAAGCGCTTCAACTGGCATTCTGTTTGGGACTACTAGCTGTAGTTCATCTTACAGGTCTTGTGATTCATTGAATAATCGTATTCTTAGTTTTATCCTGGATTTTGCTTCAATTTTGAAGTTTGATGACCCACTATGCAATTAGATAAGGATCTGTTAGAGACTAATAGCTGAAGTCTGTCAAATAGATAATTTTATTCATCCAACAGGTCATATACTAAACTTTATCCAAAATTTTTCTTCAATATTTGAGTTCAAAATTCAGTAATTGCTGTAACTGCATACAAATCATTTTAAAACTTTCAACTCTACGATTGTTAAAAATTACGTGTAGATTCTCAAATATTTCATCCGTGATATCATTTAATTTAATGAATAAGAAGCTGAGAAAATAAACGCAAGTAAGTGGATCAGAATGCATTGTCAGTGACAAGCCTCCAGGATGGGTAGGTACTCAATTTGTAACCTCATTTCAGATAAATCCTTCCTTTACAACTCTCTCCACAGATAACAATACTGGAGCCTACCCGATGAGATGAACAGAAAATTACCATCTGCCTTGGAGGGATTGTGTTGCATGAATGCGAATAGGTACACTGAAAGTGCATCACTTCGCTCTTGCTGGTTGTATTAAAAACTCCATAAACTGACAGTTCAGCCTCTAAATTCTTGATACCGCAGGCATATCAACATTAGATGCTGCTGAAGGGTTAAGTATTGAAACAAATCTCCTATAGGATATAATTAGGAACAGTTGTTACTTTACACAACTTTGTGTAACAGCGTTCGGGCTCCTAAATTAATGGTGGGCTTCTAAAAAGCTTAGTAAGCCGCTAGCTGAAACAACTCAGCATTCTAACAAAGCAAAATTCTCATACATGCATTTACAGGGGCCTGAAAACTGAAATGTTCGTAAATCGATCCCATCTGCATTCTCAATACGTATTGGTCTCTGATGAGATAAGTATCAGATGACGCAGATTACAATACTAGGCTCATTCAGCCATAAAAATCCATGTTAATAGATGAACAGATTTCTGTACTGAACGAATAGTGATTCAGATGGCAGAGACCCAAAGAGAATAGCTTAACTTAATTAGTGAGGAGCGATCACTGTAACAAGGCCTAGAGGTCACAGAAACTTGGCCATGTGACTTTGGATGTACCGAGAACTTGAGAGCTCTGTTTCAAATAATTAAAGTGGTCCAACATATGATCAGCTCCGAAAATTATAATGCTCCTTAGCGCAGCAAACTGGGATCAAATATGTTAGGCATCAACATGAACCATAGAAAACCCCCAAAAAGGGGACACAGTAGTGACAATCCTTTAAGGTTAGAGAGGTTAGGGAGGAGGACTGAATAAATAAAAGGGATTTACCTTCATGTTATTCTCGACGAGCCATGAAGAGGAGCACATTTGGTAGACTAAGTAAGCTCGTACAACTTCCCAAGTAGTTTTGCTTTTGAAAGCGGCTTTGGGATCTGAGAAATTCGTATCCAAAGGGTCGCGCACGGGTGCATTTTCGTTGATCGATGCCGTGACATTACTATTGAGGGGGTTTGTTACACTTGACCTGAGAGCACTGGGACAGTAATTGATTAAAGGGTAGTAAATCTGGTTTCGGGCACCCTTGGTGCCATGCAAGAGGTAAATATTGCCGGTATTACGCGAATTACTATGCCTGATAACGGCTCTCAAAAACGCCATTACACTCTCCAAGTATTAGGTCAATACACTCCCCCCGTCGACGATTAATTTAGAATACTTGAGAGGACTTCGAGATAATGTTAAACTATCTTATCTTTCGAGCACACTAAATATTATTCTTCCCGTTTTTTATACAACGTCACTATCACTATCGTGCGTGTCGCGTGCAGTTCAATAATATACGCTCACGGTCGACGTCAGACCACCAGCGGACGGCGAGGCACAGACTGAGTGAGTGATGACGATGACGGCAGAGTTAGGCGGGTGAATGGCGCGCCGCGGCGAAGCAAGCGGAGGGGGCCTGGAGGTGGGAATCGGGGCTCGGGGGATTCAATCGGGATTGTGGGGAGTTGGGGACCAGAATATTGAACTTCCCAGTTCGATCTATCCACAAACTCTCCACGGTGCTTCCCTTCTTCTTTTTCGTGTGTGCGTCACGACTCCATGGAACCCTCATTCTTGGCGCTGTGACCATGTATTTTACCATTAATCACTTCTGTTATCATCAGTGCAACTCGATGCAGGTGCCGGCCGTCCTCACCGCGATTTTTTTGCTTTATTGGTGCATCAGTTACTTAACCGTACTCTAACTTAACCAGCAATGCAGTTTTTCCTTGCAGCGGCGCCTTTGCTGGAACCTCGAGCAACTATTTTAACCTCGCGGAGATCAAATTGCATACTTGACGAAATGAAGGAGCTCTCAGTGGACCGGGCAATCAACGACAACTGCACCGATGCAACTGAAGGCACCGTCGACTCGATTTAGAGCGGATATTTGCAATTTTCGGCGACTCATGACATTTTCTCGACAAGTTTTCTTGATTCAAATGTTTTGCCTATCTCTTAAAACACGTTTAATTACACAAGAGACCTATAGATCCCCCAAAATATATCATATTTTACTAGAGAAGCAAATCTACGGAAATTCGCTTTTATTCGTGGGACATCCTTAAAACTGACACCCCCCCCTCCTCTATTGCGCATGCATGCAACTTTCAGCCCTCTTTCCTATCCTGCCGCCTGAAAATTAATACNNNNAAAACTTTGGTTCCTTTCGTAGGAATTTCAAAGTCAGCAGATCATTTTCTTTCCTCAGCCGCATACATTTTCCTCGTTTCTCTCGATTGCAAGTTCATTGCCCCTTCTCATTGCGTACGTATAGCACACTGTTTTACAGCGAAATCCGACGCTTAAATAAATGTATTTGAACAGGTATATCGGCAAACGAGAGCTTTTTCGTGAAAAAACCAATGCGTAAGTCCTATAGTCTGTTTAAAAAACATGTTCCTATTAAAACGCCTCACCCCCCCCCCCCCCCTCTTTCATACTTGATTGTATTCTGTAGGTATAGCTCGGATTAGGGCTCACTGAAATCGAATGACGTCATTGAGTCGATGTAATCACGCGATTTCATGAGGTATCACAGCGTATGTTTGGATAGGCTGACAGGCTGTTACGACAGTTCAAGTTCAACTGCCTGTCAATGCTACCTACTCTTCGTTAAACGGAAGATCATGTAGGGCTGGGTGTTTGACCAACAAGTGACGTCATACGATCTTAACAAACAAAAAGTACTTATCCAAATAACCACATATTCGCTTAGAGAAGAAATAATTTCGCTAGTACCTACCCAAAAACTCCGAGGGTCAACTCACCTGTTGATTGCTCTAATTCTCTCAACTGCATGTTTCTCATCCTATCGAGTTCGCCTTCAATAATTGTGATGGCAACATGGGCAACTTGAGAGCACGAATAGTTGCGCGGAGTGGGTTTGTCACTTTCGCTCTATATCAGGAAGGAACACACGTGATTAATTTTATTGCATGTGTCTAATCTTATAGAGTTCGCCTTCAATAATTTTGATGGCAACATGTGTGGCTTGCGAGCACGAATAGTTGCGAGGAGTACAGGTTTGTCACTTCCGTTCTGTCCCGGGTGCAAGGAACACACGTTGATAACTCTCCTATCTTAAGTTGAAAATCTTAAAAACCGCCATGACAAAGCGGGGTTCCGAAACATTGAATATGACTCAGAAGAGGCTTTTTTAAAGGACCCAGGTCGTAATAAGCTCGCCATGGATAGTTATGTTATGTAGAGGATTACAAAGGTATCGAAATAGTATGATCGCTAACTTCATGGGTTTTCCGAACTGGTGAACCCATGATGATAGAGGATTGACATACTTACTTTACTGAAAAAAAAAAAAAAAAAAAAAATTTAAAAAAAAAAAAAAAAAAAAAAAAAAAATTTTAAAAAAATAGATTTTAATCATATCGCGTAAAACTCGCGCCTTGGACGAAAAATTGAAATGCTCGAATTTTATGATGCCTCCATTCAATGGACCCTGAAGTTTTTTTCGAATTTAATCAAGATTTTTGTGAAATTACGAAAATCACCTTCAATTCTTTCATCCGTGGTATTTTTCATCGTAAGGGTGTTTCTAAAATACGTCACTGTCGTTTGACAGAAAAAAAGAGGGGAAAAAACCCATAAAGATATCAAGTGGTACAATAAGATCTGACATTATGCAGCGTAACAATTAACTCCTATCAAAACATCCTGTTGAACCGAGGCCATCAATTTGATTAGAGCCAATGACCACAGGTGACTTCTTCCAAACCAAACCTACCGCACTGATGATTTGGCATTGAATGACTTTTCATGTTCGTTCTAATGTGGTAGGTCATATGAATCTCCCGCCAAAAATTTGGCGAGGTACCTAGTGGTGATCGTTCGATCTGCATACTTTGTAGCAGTTATATCTATATGATAGAGAGACTCTCTGGCACCAGTCACTTATTGAGTGCTGGCCCTCGTTCATCATTCGAAGCTTGAGTGTCCCAATGTAACTGACCTTTTCTCACCCTGCTATTTTATTTACCTACTTGTTTATTAAAGTTCTATACCTACAGCGGGCCTCAATTAACATCCTCGTAAACGGTTAGGTACATGCTAAGATGCATTCAAATCCATTTTCTTTTAAGATCGAGTTTTTAATGCGTGTATTTAGTTTGAATTCATAAAACGAGCTTTGAAAGTTATCATCTTCAAGTCATACTAGATTTAGGAGGCTCGGTGGACTGCGGTTCCTACATCGCACAACTGACACGAGTTGAAAAATACTTGTGCTTTGAACACGTGTTGCATGCAAGCCCTCGTTCAGGGACATGAGACATAATTTGCCTTCGATTTTTAAGCTAGGCAAAATCGGCTTCTCAGGGGCCGTGATGTAGCTGTATCCTGTATCCGCAGAATTGATCGATAAGGTCGAAAAATGCATACCTCGAAGTGCAACCTCGTGGGCATCCACTCAAACATGTTTCATTTATTTTACAGAAATAAACCCGAAAGTTTCTATTGAAATTTTTTGGGAGTTTTCTTCGCTCGTCCAAAATTTTCCAGCATAATGTTTCGTGTGCGATGCATGTTGCCTACCCTCCCAATTCTAGGCGCTGAAATTATTCTCAAAAAATTTCGACCAAAAATGTTGAGTTGCACACACCAGCGGGTATTACTTCATACAAAAATGAAATGAATAGCGGAGAGATTGTCAAAAATCGAGATCCGTCTAGTCTGGTGGTTTCATCCAAGAACCATCCTTTGTATTTATCTAGGGGAAAGCGCACAATTCCGTTGCCTTCCTCCTCAATGTGTAAAAAAAACCTTTTAAGCCCCGATGAGGGTACCTACCTATTCCCCATGAAAGCGAATAACGTCAGTGGCGCCTCCCACGCATGAACTGCTTCGAGCATGACGTCACAGTGGGAATTCTCACGTAAACCTGTCAGGTATCGATCATACTAAATTAGGCCCAAACGATACTTTCAATTGGGGATGGGTAAGTGGCTCCGTGAAAAGTCCAAAAAAATTATACCATTGGCGGATCCAGCAAATTGGCAACATTGGCAATTGGCAAAAGAAATTCTTTACCATATAAACCTATAGAAACGTATCGATTCTCGGAGGGGCCAGGTGCGTCGGCAATAATCGATTATTTAACATAGGTTCAAATGGAGGAAATACAGTGTTGTCAAATGGATGGGTTCGTCGTTTCTGGCACGAAGGAACGTAACTCCGTTCCAAGGTTGCAAAATTGACTGAAACAATTTAATTTTTTGAGAGGATATACCTGTGCATTTTGTGTCAAAAATGTTTCTGATTTTCGTATGAAATTAGAGGGAAATCAGTGAAATTTTCCGTTAAAAATGCCCTAGATTCTGTTGATAAAAATGCAATTTGCGAGGGGAACTGTGGCAACATTGAAATATATTCACCTACGTTCTTTCCGAGAGGGTAAAGACGAAAGGATATCACCTTTCTGAGCAGGGCCGGATTAAGGGGGTGGCCACATAGGCCGCGGCTTATGGCGGCAAATCTGAGGAGCGGCAAATTTTGCAATTTTTTTGAAAGTAGGTATAAAAAAAAAATCGGATTTAGAATACAAACGAGAAAAGGCTACAAAATCTCTCATTTCCTGAGAGTATAGTAATTTCTAATTTTGTCGTCTTTCACACAATTCGGCCTGGAACGGCGCGACTTAGAGAGAAATGATGACGAGGACTTGAGATGGAAAGGAGAAAGCCCTCGACGCGGCAATCGGCATGTATAACACATATAAGCGCCTACAAGACTGCACGAACACTTCACGCATTGCATCAAACACAGTGCGGTTATTGTGGTCAGCGTGAAACGGATAGCGCCTACAAGACTGCGTGAATACTTCACGTATTGCGCCAAACACGGTGCGGTCGGCGCGGCGGCGGAAGTTAAAATCATTAAACCAAATTTTGTGTTTGTTCTTTCATAACTTTTTCGTTCATTTCTTATGAATGGTAGGCCTTGTCCATTAGAGATAGGTTAACGAAACTTGACTTTCGCGACCTTTTGCTAGTAGTGTTGACAGGGTTTTCCCAAAAAATGTGTTTAACACGAGTAAACGCGTCTTATGCACCCCTCCCTCGCTGGCACGTTCACTTGATGGTTTTTATTGGTGTTTCAAAACGAATGAGAAGGGGGCGGCAAAATACAGCCGGCCCGTGGGCGGTAAGTAGGAATATCCGGCCGTTTCTGAGCAAAAATGCAAACTTTTATCATAAAAGTTTTATGAACTTGATCAAATGATTTATCAGAGGCTATCTGGTTAAATTTTCTGCGGAGTAAATAGATTCAAAATAGACCACATAATAAGTGCCTGAAAATACTCAGTAGAAAAAGGCCTGGATACACTCTCAAATTTCCGTCAATTTAAATGAC